CCTAGACACACTTAATGGGGGGGGGGGGAAGACACCAATTACGGGAAGTTGTTTGGCATCTCTAACTGAAGCGTCTGAAAAGTCAGTATCCAGAGAGTTCTTGGCTTAACAGGAAAATACCCCTGAAGGATTAAGGCTGGGGACTCTCTTACATCCTTATCTCAGTATAAATTAGTTTTTTAACCAACTTCTTGTCTCATCCTCTCTATCAGCTGTCGTGAAAACATGGGTGTTTTGAGTGTGATACCATGGTGAGCGAGCTCTGTCATTAACATAGACCAAACATATGTGTGTCTTTCCACAATGTCAGAATTTAGTGAATAATAACAAATTCCAGGGCTACACCACCTTCATCAGAGACAATTCACTGAATCCTTGTGGGTCACCTGGTGGTCAGGCAGGGCAATCACAGGTTCTTTTATTCCAATCTTGATTTCTAACATCCAAACCACACCACACTTTACACAATGATACACATGTAGGTCACAGAAAGGCCAAGGAAGGTTTAAGACAGACACAGGTTTCCAAGCAGAGGCAGAGAGCAGATAAGAATGCAAAGAATCACTGTAGGTGGTTAGATAAGATCATGAACCAGCCAAAGAACTTGTTCGGGACACAGAGCCAGCAAAGTGCTGGAAAATCAAAAAAATCAGACAAAGTGCTGGCATGTATTCCAGGCCAAGGACAAGAGGATGGCAGTTTCAGAGTGTCAGTTTGGAGTGGGCCACGTGTGATTGTCACCGGCAGAGAAACCACACTCTGCTGAAGCCCGAGGACAGAGATTCAGAGGTTCATCTCTGTAGAAATTTTCCTAGGCAATGCCTGTGACAGGTGACCAGGTGACAGAGTCAAGGTGCTGCTGTGTCCAGTCTCAGGGTGCTCCTCCTTTCATGGGCCTCGAGTGAGGGGGCTGCTTCATTGCATGGTCTGGTGTATTCGATAAGCACAGGAGCCTGGTTTTCCCAATGAGTTTGATTCATCCATACATCTAGGTGCTTCTGATTAATTTGATGAGCCACAGGTGGTCATTTTTATCAGCATGATTAGTTTACTTATCAGTTGGTGCCTCATGGTTGTGCTAGGCAGGTGGTGGTTGTTTCCTTGTACAAACAAGGTGCAGAGTCATTCCATCTCAGCACTGAAACTCAAAATGGAGTCGCTCAGGGCAAGCTGCTGCTTTACTAGATGAAGTGACACAGGTTTCGGCACAGCCCCCAAACCGCTGTTCTGTGCATCCTGGAGTAGCTCACAGGAGGGCACAGCCTGCCCTCCACAGGTGCAGAGAAGGGAGACCCTCTACTTACCTCTGGGTTAGCCAGACCTGCAGTTGGGGACACAGGCAGAGAGGGAGGAAAGGGGGTGGGAGGAGGCCACCAGGAGGAGAGGGTGAGACTCGTCTTTGCAAAACCAGACTCTGTAAGCAGAGGTCCTTGGAGGGTCGTGGGAGATTCCAAAGCTCTCAAATCACTTCAGTAACATTCATATTCATAGCTCATATATATATTTTTATTTATTTTTTCCTGTTAACTGAAATTCGTCAAATAAAGAAAGTCTAGCTGTCTACTGGTATACAGAGTGACGAAATTTCCAGGCGAGGTGGTTTTTGCTACACCTGCTATCATGAAGCACAAGAAAAAGTGAAACAGGTTCCCTTAATCACATCGCTGTCCCTATTTGGAGGAATGACAGGAGATATATAGGCATCGTAATACAGGATGAATGCCTCCTACAGCTGACCATAGTCACGCAGAACCGGTTAACACTGACACTTTCTCTGCCTCTCAGGTGAAGTTGGAATGGAGCATCTTTCTGATTCAGCTTCCCTCAACAGTCGTCTTCATCTCTTCATCTCACCCTCTTTCCCCAGAAATCCATGGCTCTGATGTATTTTAAGATTCCATGAAAAAACAGTCAAATCAGACGGTCTCATTTCAAATCCCAGCCCTACCTTACTGTCTGAATGACCTGAGTTATTTGAATTCTTTAAGCAACAGCTTCTTCTCTTGTAAAGTAGGAATATTAATAGGTGTCCCATTCTTCCTGTGTCACTTGAGGATGACTGAGTTGTATGTCATGAGTTGAACCCCCACTTGGCTGGAGCTAAAGAACAAAACTTCCTCATGTGTTTTTTTAAGTCAGCACCCACCATCTGTGCACGTGCGTGCCTGTGTGTGTGTGTGTGTGTGTGTATGTTTCCTCGAGACACACAAAACTCAGCAGGAATCATGCTTCAGTGGTACGTGCTCACATCAACCCCAGCACCATTCTGGCTCTTTGTGGGCTCCACGGTATGTAGGTTGCTGTTCCACTAGATTCCAGCGCTCTGTTTGCCAGAGGAGCTTGCAAGTGTGCCCAGCAGATTGTCGTGAGTCTGAAGGGTCCACATCACAGAGAGGGAAAGAAAGACATAAAATCAAGACGGTCAGAAAAAGGTTGTGTGTGTCCATTAGAAATTATCATTCAGCCTTTATTCAGGAAGAAAACGTGAGGCCCACAGGTATGTTGAGACTGTCCCAAACCCGCTCACCCCGGTGTGCATAGAACTGTAATTAAAGGTCAAGGGAAGAAGGAACAGGAGTTGGGAGTGAAGAAGGAAAAGGAGGAGGTGCAGGGAGGGTCCTGGTGTTCTTCCACAGCCCATCCAAGAGGAACGGAGAGGGCTGTTTGGGGTCTCATGATCCATGCGGTTCCTTTGCTGGGCACTCCTGGGGGTCTGGGAGTGGCCGATAGGGCACACTGGGCCAGGAGGGCTGCAGGCCTGTGCGCGATCAAACTGACCTGATAAAAGAATCCGTGAGACTGTTTCCACTTTAGGGCCCCATGGTTTTGTCACTGTGCTGCGAAGGGTTCTGTGTGGTTACTGTGCAAGATGTAAAGGACCAGGCCTGATTCCCACAGTGCACATGAATGGATAAGGTTTGAGTAGGTAGAGAGGAAAGAAAAGGGCATTGAAAGGGGAATTTAAGACACAATGACTCAACCAGAGAGGACCAAAAAAAAAAAAAAAGAGAGAGAGAAAAAGTGGTGGTGAGTCGGGCTAGATTAATAAGAAGAAGAAGCAATAATGCTCTAAAGCTGGTTAAGCCAGGGACTGGGGGGACCCTGATGGTCAAGCAAATGACAAACATTAGGAGTCACAGGGAACACTGAGAAGGCAAGCCGACTGTAGCATCAAAGGCATCAACAGGAAGAACGGTTGAAGGTCGCTGGCCATAAGCTCCCAGAGCCAATATTTTGTACAGTGGGGGTTTTCATCAAAGTACAGAACTCCAGCATAGAGGAGGGAGGGAGGGAATTCTGAACCATGTCCCATCTGCATCAGAGTAAAAGGTGGCTCCAAGGAACCAATCTGTTGTGTTGTTGTGTTGTGTTTTGCTTTGCTTTTGAGAAAAAAAGTAAAAGATGTTTTATTGCTTTGCTAGCAAAGGAGAAGCACAGGGGACTCCTGTTGCAGGGGCTCTGATTCTGCCCATCAGGGGGAACAGAAGGCTTTTAAAGAGCTGATTCAAAGGCTACCTTCCAGGTGTGCCCTGATGCTGTCATGATTCACTTGTTAATTTGAGAGATGTCTTAGACCTTCTGGTGCCATCCCCGAAATCTGAATTATTCATTCCTAAGGACAGATATCTCAGCCTAGGATGGGGAAGGAGGTTATCTGTTATTTCCCACCCCATGCATAAACACCCCCCAGATTAACTAAGCGTGGGTCAGCATGAGAGAGGGAAAGAAAGAGAAAGAAACATGTCCATTTTAAAAATAAGTCCCAGCAACACAGCAGCAAGGACTATATTCAAAGCATGAAGTAGACCACTGTTCCATTTCCCCACAGTCAATTCCCACCTTACATTTCTATGAAAAATGGGCAATGATATCCCCAAGCCGCTTCCTGCTGAGGGAGGGGGAAGGTGACCTACAGTCCTTGTTCTATCAGGTGGGGCATGGACTTACAGGTGTCCAGCATCAGGGCAGTGCATAGTCCATGGTGGCTGTTGGTAGGAGATAGACAAGGCATACCTAGGGCAGGGATCATGCTAGGACAGCAGTAAACGAGACAGCAGAGCATTACTTTGTTTTTTGTTTTTTTGCAAACAATTAGCACAAAAGCAATTAGTATTTCAGCCAGTCTCTGAAAACCAAGAAGATAGTAACTCATTGAAGCTTCAGGTGGGACCCAACATACCTTCAATCTGTGAGTGGAGGCCACTTTGTGCTTTAGGAATGTTACCAGAGTCATTGGAAACATCCACAATATTTAGTTTTTATAATGGCACGTGTCCCCTTGAACTGTAGTTAAAATATCTAGTGTCAACTGATTTCTGTAAAATAACTTGCTCATGATCATCACCTCTGTGTTTAGTAGAGAGATCCCTTTAACTGTGTCATTTAGGGCTCTCTTGGTAAAGCTAGTTAGGGCTTTTGTGTGCCACATCACATTGTTTAGACCAATCTGAGGGAGAAATATCAGGGTTAAGTCATCACACAAGAGAAAAACAGATCGGGTTTATCTATGTAGGAGCTTAGGAAGATTTGTTGGTCAATGAGATCAGGCTCGAATTGACTCCGGAAAAATTTGTGACTCTGGAGTCCTTTGTGATAGTTATTATTAGGCACTCCCAAAGAACCAGATTTTAAAATGGATTATTCAAGTAGATTCCAACTTGTTTCAAAATTCAGACAAAAATATTTGTCTTAACCAGTATTTAATATTTCATTACTCAAGTCTTCACAGGAACCACCCAGTGATATTCCATCACTGACAGAGCTGATGTCACCTTGTCCTTTGGGCCTGCTGTCATATTGATGGCCACACATGGGCCACATAAGAATGGTCTTTGAGGATATGACCAAGAGGTTTCTGGCAAATGTGATAAACTCTGATGCATCAGGAATCTTCTAAACATTCAAAAAATATAAAAAGATGCATATTGGTTTGTTTTCCTAGTCACTTGGCCTATTGAATTGCAAATAATATATGTATGACTCTGTGTGTTTTCTTCCAGGGTCTTTCTTTCCTGATTTCAAACCCTCCGAAACAGTTTTTAAAATAGTATTTTGGCTTGGATACCTAAACAGCTGCATCAACCCTATCATCTATCCATGCTCCAGTCAAGAGTTCAAGAAAGCCTTCCAGAATGTCTTGAGAATCCAGTGTCTCCGCAGAAAGCAGTCTTCTAAGCACACCCTGGGCTACACCCTGCATGCCCCCAGCCAGGCCCTGGAGGGGCAGCAAAAGGACATGGTCCGCATCCCCGTGGGATCCGGGGAGACCTTCTATAAGATCTCCAAGACGGACGGGGTCTGTGAATGGAAATTTTTCTCTTCCGTGCCCCACGGATCTGCCAGGATTACAATGCCCAAGGACCAATCAGCCTGCACCACGGCTCGGGTGAGAAGTAAAAGCTTTTTGCAGGTCTGCTGCTGTGTGGGGCCCTCAGACCCCAGCCTTGGAGAAAACCACCAAGTTCCAACCATTAAGATCCACACCATCTCCCTCAGTGAGAATGGAGAGGAAGTCTAGAGGACAGGAAAGGTCAGAGAAAAGGGGTGACCCTAGGCTCCCTCCCCACTTCCCACACAGAAGGCCACTCACCCTTCCTGCAGGACAAGAGGGCACCATCCAACACAGGCCCATCTGGGAATGGGGTGGGGGAGGAGACCCAACTCATCAGGCAGCAGGTGGGTCTCATGGAAGAGGCAGGATGTCTCACCACCACCTGGTTCAAAATGAGCCAGATGGCATTTCCCCCAAGCTAATATCTCTCAGTCATTTTCTGAATCTGCTTTCCACAACTGGCCCTTTCAACGAAAAACACCATGGGAAACAGAATTTCATACACAATCCAAAAGACTATAAATATAGGATTATGATTTCATCATGAATATTTTGAGCACACTCTCTAAGTTTGGAGCTATTTCTTGATGAAAGTGAGGGTATTTTATTTTCAGGCTAAACCTACTCACAGCCACATTTGACATTTATGGAGACACAGGGCCGAGAGAGGAAGAACCGTAAGATGGCGGCCAATACCCGGGCACGTTCTTTTAGATCGAGTTTTAAAACTCCATCATTTCTTATACAACGAGTTTCTCAACTTGGGTGCAACTGGACAGTGAGATTTACCCTTGGCTGCACTTTGGATATTGTTCCTTGTCCCCTAAAGGGACATTCATGTCTCAGAATGAGACAGATACACATTCTCTGCCATTGGGCTTGGAGAATATGGAAAGAACCAAGCAGGAAAAGCAGACTTTTCCCAAGAGACATGAGGCTCAGTTTTGCAAGTTAACTACTAAGGACAGAAATCCTTCCAGAAGCTCCCAGATTAGATGAAAGAAAGCTCCTTCTGCAACATTTAAATATCAAGAAGTTGGGGTGGGTGCTCATTTCCTCCTAAGGTAAAGATTGCCAAATTACTCCACAGCATTTTTGATGTGGCCTAAAAAGACCTTTCTTGACAAATCACTTACCTTTTCCAGAACTCCAATTTGAAAATACAGAGCTCATTCTCTTTTGACTTCCATTTCTTTTTATCTGCTTGCCAACTGCATATTGAGGTGAGGTTTACCTGGGTTGTATTGGAATGAGCCCAAGGTCCAGGTATATCCTTCCTGAACTTTGAAAGACACTAATGCTCAGCCTTGAACATGGAATGACTGATGGCCAAAGAACTGCCCAGAGCATGAGTTTGCAAACATTTTTGACAAAAACCCATCTATCCTGGTAAAAGATCCAGTAGCCTATTCAATTTCATCTATGCCTGCTTTCTGCAAGAACCTGGGGAGCATGCTATTTTTCAATTATATAAACACCGAATTTTGACAAACCTTAATAACTCAGATGACTGCTAATGACGGAGATGGTAACCATATGTAAAAATTCAAATATGCCTGTCATTCCACATTAAGAACTTAAAAAGTAGGATTTAAGAATTCCAGAGCAGGTTGAAGGGGATACGTAAACTTCCAGCAAGGCTATGGCCCCAGTATCTTTCTCTTCCTTCCTTGCTGCAAGGTGCTCGTTTCCTTAAATCTTTCTCAAAGGCGACTCTCTTTCCACGCTGCAACGGATGGTCTACATGCATGTGGGTTGGGGCTTTGTGGTGGGTTGTGTTTGGATTTTGAGTAGGACTGCTTCCTCGGTGTTATTCTGCCTAGAGTCCTCTGATTGTCCAGAGGGACGAATATTTGGCCTTGTGTTCAGAACTTGGATTCTGGCACTTAGAAGTTGGCTGGATTTTTAGACTCTCCTGGTCCTCTCTGCATGTCCCATAATGCTTCTACCAGATGTGTCCTTTGTATTCTCAAGGCAGGCATTAGGGAGAACTGGAATATGCAGGCCTCACTAATTTCTGCCTTGATAGGAAAGATAAGCCCTGTTGTCCAGAGAGCTTCTTTCAGATTCTGAATTGGGGGTGGGGGTGGGGGTCATCACGCTTGGCCCTGGTTTCCCCTGCAGGAAGGGTATCCTCATAGATAATCACTTTTCTTCAGCAAAATGTTATCCCATGTTAGAGATGATCTTTTAAACACTTTTACAGATAAATCTAAATTTTAGATATGGGAAAATGAAGAGCACCAAAAAGTCAGCATGCCACTTTCAATCAAAGTAAACCCCTAAGAAATCTTTTGACCATCAGATAAAAACCATGACAATTGTATTCATGTAAAGTTATCCATAAATAATTGTCTGCTCCACTGTTCTCCAGCACCACTCTCTCTGTGGAGGCAAACTTTTCATGTTTTTTTTTTCTTTTCCCATAGCATGATAACTGGTATAAACATGCCAAGAATTGGTAATGTCACCCAAAAGTTAGTAACAATGTGGATTAAACAATACACAAGTTATGTTTTACTCATCCACAAAAATATCTGTACTTTTAAGCATGCCAAAAATTATCTAAAATTGTTACAGCTAAACAAATGATTGTCATATTTATACTCATATGTTTACTGTTTCTATTTGGAGTGGGAGGAATTTACCCAGAGTAACAGTGGTTACAATGTTTTCTCCAATGTGTTATAAAAAGCAGCTGCTCTGGGATTGTCCCGACATCACAAGAATCGATGTTGATGTCGCATGGGAGAGGCGAGATGGGCCTTGATTCTGCAGATCATATTGCATGCGTTGAAAGGGTCCTTGAAGTTCTTTATTCAAAAATTTCCCCAGACTATTTGCAAGGGTTTCAGAAGAGCATTTTACTCACCCTCCTTTTCTTCTCATTTGCTTCTGGGGCGAGACCTGCATAGGTCCTCATACCCACACTTTTTTAATATGGTTACTTGGGATTGACTGCAAATTAACCTTGGCAAGTAGACTACCAAATCTCCAGTGCAGCCAAGAGCAGGTCATCATCAGAAATTTGTATCTACAATTCCATCAGACCACACCACTTTTTTAGGGTTGATTATCTAGAATGTTGTTCAGACCTTGCAAGAAGGGACAAGTATACCAACTTGGGAGAAGATGGGCACATGAGAGAATGCAGAAGAGGCTTCATAGGCCAAGAATGGAAAACACAGTCATGGCCAGGACACCCACTGGGAGGTGTGTTGAAGTTATTGATTACCAGCCGTGGTTCATAGGAACACTCTGGAAGTGTATTTTTTTTGAGAAAAATGAATGTAAACAGATCCATTGCTTACTCTCACGTGTATTCCAACTTTTTTTTTTTTAATTTTGTTTTGAGTTGGAGAAAAGGGAAGGGATGATAGGTTTTCCACCATGAATTGCAGAGAATGTGTTGAGCATGGGAAACTCATGGATGCCACTGTGAGAGAAGGGTTCAGAATGGTGATTGCCAGGTTGCCAGAGACCCAGGCAATCTGAGGCACCCATTGGCAGCTGTGCTACTTGCTAGATGGCAGCCCCCTGCCTCTGGATTTTCTTTCCCATATGAAAGCAGCACATCACAACCATCTTGGTCTCTCCTCTCTTCAATGTGCACCATCATGCAGATCTTCTAGCTTCAGTGGGTCTCTTGGTCATGGCCTGGGGTGAGAACATTTGGGGAAACTATTTGCTTGGGCAAGTAATCATTCATCCTTTAATGACAGCTACTTAGTCACAGCTGGACAAACATTCTCAGTTGCTTCTGGGGCGAGATCTGCACAGGTCCTCCTGCCAAAAAACGCTGCCTCTTTATGTGAACATTTGTTGATGTATTTAAGGACAAGAGCTCTGCTCATCAACAAAGCGGGGAGGGGTGGCAATCAAGGGGAAGTCAAGCAGGTGGAAGGCAAATCTCCTAGAAAAAGCCAGGGAAGGCAGAGGTGGCACACATGGAGACATCAGAGCTGTACTCACTCGACCCTCTGATCTCTTTTACACTACTGGGACTTTTAACCATGAAACCACCTGTACACAGCTCCCGACGAGCCCAGTTGGAACACTGTTGCGCCTGCTCCGTGTCTACAAACTAAGCTGTGGAGCAGGGCTGAGTCCACCATCTTCCAAAAGCAATGGCAGCAGTGGCCTCTGGCCCTTCAAAGTCCCTGCAAGATGAGTGAGTGGAAATGACTGTCACCCAGCTGAGCCAGGAAAACAAGTTACGATGTCAGCAGAGGACCCTGGCCCCTTGCCCGCGTTGCCATCAGCACAATCTTATTTTTGATCCCCAGACCCAAATGTCATGTGGGTGGACTGGGAATCGCTGCATCTGCTCTGGGTAGGACAATGTCATTTCTTCTTCACCACTGCAGCCGGATTATGGGTTCTCCCACCTGCAGGGAAGGCTGCAGGGTGGCAGGGGGGCTGAGGGGCAGGGCGTTTAGTGGTGTTTTGCTGCAGCTAAGAAGCAAGGAACTGCCGTTAGGCTGGAAGCTTGCTCATTTCAAGAGGCAAAATGATTCCTTTTCCTTTCCCTGTGGCTCAGGAGTTTCTACATTATCTCCCTCCATATCATGTTCAGTGTGGACATGTTATAATCTGGAAATAATTTTGGCCAGACTAGGAAAGCCACAGACTTCATTAGGTAAAAAAATCTTAAAGCAGTTGTATACTGTATTTAGAGAAAAATATGCCGAGGGCATGGGCCTATTAGACAGCCTGAATACAGCAGGTGCATTTGAATGTGAAAGAGAAGACGTGAAGACTGAAAAGCCCAATGTGAGTTTCTTATTTTCATCCATGACTTTGCTTTTTATTTGTCCAGGTGATTTCTCTTATGTGGGGACATTCCCATGTGGCAGAAAGAGAAGCAAGGGCTTCACTTGGCATATGAAGAAATAGGGGAGTGAGCCGAGGGGTTTCTTTGAATATCCCCATATTCAGCCTCCACCTCCTTTTTCAACGACACCTCCATGTCCCCGAGGTCCACAACCTCTAACTTTCCTGTTTTGCCCCTCCATCTCTAACCCATAATTCCAGCTGTGTTGGCACCTGCTCCCCTGCTCTCTCTGGCAGCACAGTATCATCCCAGGGGCCAAGTGCAGGTTTGTCCCCGTTTCTCTCCATGGCTACCAGACAGGACATGTAATTCTGCTCCTTCTCCCTAGCTAGAACACCACGGAGTTAAGGAAAAGTTAGGAAAGGAGGCTCTTGGTTTGCTCAATTTGGTGGCATGTAAGCCACAGTCAGCAATGACTGTCACCATAAGGTCCTCAGGAACACAAAGTTCCCAAAGGGAATCACGGGAACACTCCTACTCCCAGTGAGCCTGCCAGTCACTGCGGACACTGATGGTCAGCAGCAAACTACCTCCCTGTGCCAAGCACTAACTTGGCATGAAAATCACAGAGAGGCACAGACAGCTCCCAACTTAGGAGCTGGATGGGTTCCAAGTTCACCTGCCTAGAAATCAAGAATGATTTTCCAACAGGCATTGTTACACATGGGGAGGGGAGGGCTGTTCCCAGATGAACCAAAAAATAAAAGTCTATTTAATGTTCACCAAGACTTGGCAAACTTTTTCTGTAAACAGCTAGTTAGTAAATGGTTTAGGCATTATGAGTTTTATGTTCTCTATCACACGTATTTCTCTGTTTGGACTTTTTGGGGGTAGGGGAGATCATCCTTTAAAAATGTAGACCCATTCTTAGCTTGAAAAAAAAAAGGTGTGGGCCAGATTTAGCCCATGAGGATCAATTTGCCACCCAGCACAGCTTCCAGCACAGTACAAATAATAGGAAAGAGTTTGGGGTGTTCAGCATATAAACATTTTTTAAACATGTCATTCATTGACACATCTCCACTTAGCTAAATCAATGCTCCCAACCTGCATGAGTTGCTAGTCAAAGTGACAAGTTCAGGTCCCAGGGTGATTTTCTGAGCAGGTGCAAAAAGCAGAGGTGAGACCCTCTGCACTCCCTCACTGTCCCTCACAGAGCAGACAGGTCCACAGGAGCCCAGGTGAATGGGTTTCTGGCTCAGCCCTTCACCTCCTGGGCCTGACTCAGAGAACAGCCACAACTACATGCCCCTTGACCAAGGCTAACCTCAAATTCCTCCAAGCCCTTGGAAACTACTAAAGGGAAGGTCCACAGAAGTCTTTGGGGGCCACACTTGGCTCCTTGGAGAGTCCTCCTGACCACAGTGCCCTGTACCGGGGCATTTGCAAGCCCTGCCTGGAGCTCACTGAGAGTCATGGGGTACAAACGGAGGACATCTGCCAAAGGACAAGCAGAAGGAGGAGCTCTTCTTCTCCTCTTCTTTTTCCTGTTTTTTCTTTTTTCTGTAAGTCAGGGGTCCCCTAACTGGGAAAGACGTGGTGTTGCTATGGGGAAATGTAGCTGGCCCTCCCAGGCACCAAAGCCAGGTTCCGAGCGAGGTGTGTGCTGGGGAGCACCCTGCCCTTCCCTCTCCAGCCCTGGGGGGTGCTGAGGGGCAGAAGGACATTCCCAATTGGAAATAAGCTCTGTGCTCATGGCGCCCGGTAGGGTGCCTGCAGTGCTGAGGAGATGCCTTCACTGGGCCTGGGTGCAGTGGGTGCAGAACTGCTAGAGAAGGACCTGGAAACATTGGGGCTCTTTTAATGACACTGCTGCCTCCTTTGAGTACAAAAGGGGAGCTTTGGATGAACACTGTGCGGCAGGGGCCCTTCCCCCTCCCCTGCTCTTGATCTTGCCTTTCCCAGCCTCCTGTCCTGTCCCTTCCTCTGTCTCCATAACTCCACCCTGAACTTCCTGCTGACTTTACTGACCACGTGAGATGTTGGGGTAGGCACCCTTCTCCGTGGAATGTTCTGCTCTGGGTGACAGGACGGGGCTTCCCTGAGTAACAGCCCTGACTCAGTGAATTCTGGTCCCTGCAGCCTCCCTGCCCAGGGCGGGGGACCTGTCCACAAAGGTGAGGACGTTCTCAAGGCCCCAGTCCTCAAGAACATTCACCCTCTCCTTGTATTGCTGTCTCTCTGGGCTTACACTGTTGGTTCCAATGAAGGTGCCAACACTGTGTGTGGCCACGTGTTAGAAAACAGCTGGTGGTCAGAGTGGTTCCTGGTGTTGCTGACCACACTCCCGGGGTGGGCACCTCTTCTGTTGCCAGTAGTCGCCGCTCACTGACAATTCAGACGTCTTGAACTGAGCCTCGCAAAGTCACCTTCTGTCCTCTTGCTCCTCATCTTTTGTCTCTTGCCTTTAATGTTTCTTTTCTGTTGGATTTTCCCTGGGGCCTTCGAGGCCTTAATTCATCCTATAAAGTAAACCTGGCTCCTTTAGCATTGGGCACAGGAGGCACACCCCAGGCAAAACCGTCAGCTGGGCAGAGATGTTCTTCCCTTCTGGGCTCTGCTTCTTCTTCCTGTCCCCACCAGCTCATCTTTGACTGGGACTTCTTCACTCCCCTTGTCCTTGCATTGGGAACTTTTCTGCCCCAAGAAAAGAGTCCCCTCCCACCGAGTGTGTTCCGGCTTTTGCTGCCATGGCTCCATGCATCTTTAGACCCCCGTGTTCGTCCAGACCCATCATTACAAAGCACTGCAGACTGGGTGGCTGCAGCCAGACGTCTCCTGTCCTACTGCTCTGGAGGCTGGAAGTCCAAGGTCAAGGCATTAGCAGGTGGTTTCTTCAGAGGTCTCTCCCTGTCTTACGCCGTCTGTGCATGCACAGGTCTCTGTCCCAACCTCCTCTTCTCATCAGAACACCAGGCTTATTACAGCAGAATCTACCCTCATGACCTCCCTAAAGACCCTATTTTCAAACACAGTCCTGGTGTGAGATAATGGGGGTCAGGGGTTAGGATTTCAATAGGAATTTGGGAGGCACTCAGCTCACCCATATGAACCTTCCCTGCTCTCTTTCTTCTAATAACAACAACAACAAAAAGTATCCATAATTCTTTTCCCAGATCAGAAGGTCAAATTTGGCCCTTTCTGATTACCCCAACCCCTCCCCAAGTTCTTACACCAATTCTCTGTAAAATATATTTGTCAATTAATCGTGCACTGTATTTTTAAAATCCATATCTATTTAGTGTACTTTAAAATGTGAATTGCATACACTGTGCATATATAAGTTCTGTCTACTCAACTAGATAAAAACTCCTGGGGAGCATGAATAGCCATGTCATTTAATTGGACTAAGACCCCCAGTCCCAAGTAGGCAAGGAGAGAGAAGAGTAGACTAGGGTCTGGAGACCAGGCCCATAGGGACATGGACATACCCCGGAAGGCCCAGGGAAAAGGTTGAGGATCCTGGGGTTTCTGAAAAGTTATAGTAAAGCCATCACAGTGGTGCATGCCTTTAATCCCTGTGGCCTGAGAGGCTGAGGCAGCAATTTAGTAAAGCCCTAAGGAACTTAGCAAGACCCTGTCTGTAAACAAAATATATAAAAAGGAATGGGGATGTGGCCCAGTGGAGAAATTAGGTTCAATCCTGGTGTTAAAAGAAAATATTTAAAAAAAAAATCATAGTAAGATCCTAATTAAGGGGAAGATCACAGCCGTGGAGACTCACAGGCCAGCAGCCACCTCAAGTCAGGGGATAGATGATCACCCCAGAGACACCGGCGCCCAGGAAAGCAGAGCCCCCTCCCTGAATGTGCAGACCCCAGACCCTAAGGGCAAGGTGGAGTCAAGGACCAGCTGCAGTCCAGTCCTGAGAACCAGATCTGGGAGGACCTTCGGGAGCCTGTGGTCAACCCAGGCCTTCCCAGTCTCAGGTGGATTAAGGGTATGTCGATGGGACCTGCCCGACTTCAGGATTGGCTTGGAAAATGGGTACCCAGGGTGGCTTCTGCAGGGTCTTGAAGCACCTTGTGTGCCCACCTGGCCTTTCTTGTGAAATTCTCCTATTTCTGTTTCATCAGCCTCCTGAGCTATTGTGGACATATTCCTTGCCCTCCCAGCTCCACCTGACAGCCACAGAGGGATATCTCCTCCTCTGCCCTGGTTCCCGCTGAGAAGCGGAGGGCATTTATCCTCATTAGGAAGACTCAGGGTGCTGACACACAGCATCTCCTGGCTGGCGTTCTGCACAAGAGACAAGGCTGCTTGGGTTTCCCCTCCCCCCCCCGTCCCAGGGGACTCTGAGATTGCAATTGTTCCTCGTCCCCCAATATCAACAGCAAGGAAGCACCCCTATTGCTAGAACAACACCGCTCATCAGCGTTGGTCCAATCTAGAAATAAGGGAAAGAAAAGTCACATGAAAAGCCAGGGCCAACAGAAGAATTCAGTGTATTCAAGCCAGATGCCACCCAAATACAGGGTGGCATGCCTGTAGCGAGCGCTTACTGATTTATCCACTTAAAGAAAAATTGTCTTTCTCCCCTAACCTGGGTCTGCATCCTTTAGCTCAACCTGGCCTCACCTCTCACCATTGCCATCGCCAGGGTTGGTGTTCATCAAACACCAAGCATGGGGTGAGGACTTTTTGCCCCCCAGTGTCTTCCCTTCCCAGGGCCCTGTGTCATATGGGAGAGGACAGTGGTGGTAAAGAGCAGAGACGGAGGTGACGTTGACAAACGGTAGGGGAAGGAGCAGTTTCAATTTACAAATAAGGATGCCCAAATTCCAACCAACAAGTAGGGTAGCTATTAAAAATATGCTAGAAAGCATTTTTATGAGCAAAACATACCAGCATTGCAAGTATTTAAGTAACAATTTATTGCCAGTTTTCTACAGACCTTTTTTTAAAAGAGATAAACATTGATTAGAAAATAATTGAATTAAAAAGTGGAGTCCCATGCTGGCTGACCCCTCGATTTCAGCAGTTGGCAACCAAACATGTCACACAACCCCGATTCCTAAACTTCAGTGGAGAGCTGACATGGGCAGCCGGAGTTTCGCTTCCGACTTGAAAGCCCAAAGGAAAGTACTTGCCTTCTTCATAGGATGGGAAGGAAAACAACTATCTTTGTATCTGGGTGTAAGAAGTCCCAGCCGTTCGCTTTACAACATGTCCACACAAACTCAACCCAACCTTGCTGACAATGAAAATTCATCCCTAACACGCACCGATGGTGGGTCATACAGAGATAAGGCTTGAACTATACAAGCTCTCTTTTTGGAGCACCTGCTACATGCCAAGCCCCGTGCACACTGTGGGAAGGTGAGGAGCCAGATCTCACAGTCACATTCCCAAAGAACATTCTCACAGAGAACAGTGCATGAGAAGAGGAGGGCAGGGAAATCTGTATGGAGTCAGAGAAAGAGGGAAGATGGGAAAAGGGGGACTTGCCTGCCCTCCCCTGGGGCTCTCCTTGTGTGAGCTCTCTACCTGCGGAACCTGACCTCCCCTGCCCTCCCAGAGCCCATCACAGGAGGGCAACTAGAAGGATCTTGAGAGCAGTGTGGTGGGAAGAGCTGAGGACAGGGTCTCAGATCTGCCTTCCGCACTGTCTGCATCTCTCAGTGACCAGGCAAGTCTTTTGACCCCTCTGCCCCCGTGTCTCACCTGTGAACTGGGGAGCGGGTGAAGGTATGCAGGAAGATGCCTCATGTGCTGATAAAACCTATGAAATTCAGCAAGCCCCCAACACACGCCAGACACACTCTCTCCAGGTCCCCATTTCCCCTCCCAGTTGCTGTCCACCTAAGACGATTACAACACAGCTTACCTGTATCTTCAAGCCCTGAAAGAAACCACATGCAGGAAGAGAGAGGCTGGATCTCCCCCTCCTTTGCTCTTCATCTACTGCAGCTTTACCTGTTGCCAGAGGTTGATTTGCACTCACTGAACACTCACTTCTCTTTATCTAGGCAGGAAGTCACAAGCAAGCATGTGCCAACCTGGGGCGCTGACATGTCTAACTCAGGGTACTAAGCATCAGATTCTCGATTATCCACCTCCAGCTCCCATGCTATTTTATTTGAGTTGGAAATATTCCTCCCTGGATTTTTTTTTTTTTTTATCAGACTCCTGGCACTACTTTGAAGCTTTCCACCAAAATCAGGATTATAGACACCCAGAACATGGGAACATGGGACCGGGGCTGGCATGTGTTATCTTTCTCCCACCAGCCACTCACTGACATTAAGAAGCGTTTTATGTTCTTGCGGTTGTCCTGTGAAGGATGCTACATAAAATGCAGTCGTTCTAAAAAAGGTGTGGGTGTGAGTTTCCATAACCGACGTTATGGAAAAAAGAAGTTGTTTTGACCGCTGGAAGAAGGGACAAGATTTGACACAAAGCTGAGGTTTAGAATCATCTAAGGAGACAGGGCTGAGCACTTCCTGGTAAGTGTCAGAAGTGAAAGTTTACAAGAAAAAGCAGTCCCCCCCCCACCCCCCTGCAGTTGTGAACAGAGGGAGGTTTGATTTTGTGGAATTGAGCCCCTGTCCTGGGAACTCCAGAGCAATCTCACTTCTGATTTCAGACCTGCCCCTTAGGTCCAGGACTGTCGTGGAGCCTTGAAAGGGTCTGCAGGAAGCTTCTGGGCAGGGGGTTTAGCAGCAAAGTCCCCACCGAGCTCAGCTCAGCAGGGCTCCGTCTGATGGGGCATTCAGCTCTACCCAGAGGCTATCATTAGCAGGGACACAGCCACCATCTTCCTGCCAAATGGTCTTTTGTGACTCAGAACCTCAAACTTGCTTTAAACGGAGGAGAAAGTCACTTTCAGAGATGGGGTTCTTGGCCCAGCCCTCCTTTGGATAAACAGAGTCTATGACTATTTTGGTCCTCTGGGTTTTAAGAAGCAGCTGCTAAGATATGGCAAGAGCGAAGGGATCAGTGTTGGTCCAAATTAAAGTGAAGAGTTTCCAGTTCTTTCAGGGTTGGAGGGGAAAAAAAAAAGCTAGAGCAATATGTCACAGGGAACAGCACGTGGCTGGCCTGGAAAGGGGGAAATGAGCGCGGCTTCTGCTGAGATGACCCACCCCTTTCCAGGTCTGGCCTGCAGAAATGGATACTTCAGCTTTGGAGTAAGAATTCCCACTCTAAAAAACAGATAAAATTTTGATCACATTGATGCATGAAGCTTAGTATATTAAAAGTAGAATATGATTGTTTGAAGGTCAGTCCACGTTGTTTCATCAGGGGGCATTACCCCCATTACGAGGAATCAGCTCCCTGTCCATGAATTCCATCCTTCCTGCCTCATGAAGGGCATGCAACCCTGCCGTCATTCCTGCTCCCCTCTGAGCTTTAGAATCCTCCTCGGGAGCTGCCAGGTCTTGCTCTATCAATGCTCTGTCAAGTTTCATCTGACTGTAGCTCGAATCTCACGTAGGACTGAGGTCCCCGCTGGAACAATGGCCTGAGTTTGGAGATGTCAGCTTAGCAGAACTCCCCCTGCTTCTTCTTAGAAGGTAGATGCTTGTGTTTCCTGAGTGTCCCTCAGATTCTAGCACATCCACAGAAGTAGAAGAAGCCACACTACAAAACAAAATCGCCTTCTCCCAAAGCAGCTGCCATTGCATAAGGCTGCTCTCTCAGGCATTTACCCAGCCTGTAATACCCAGTGCAGACTGACTGTGCACCAGGACCTGGAGATTAACAATGGCAGAGACACAGTCCTTGCCTCAAAGCCCCTGCAGCCCATGGAGAGCACAGCCAAGCCAACAGGTACAGGAGCACGTGGCAAGCGTGTGGGTCAGTATCCATGCAGTGTTATAGAGACCTGGAGGATGGTGCCTCCCAGCCTCACTGGGGCTTCTCATGAATGGTAACCTTTAGTGGCATCCCTATAAAACAAAACTGAGTGGAGAGCAGAAGGTGTGTTGTTCCTGGCAAGGAAGGAACACATCCATGCCAAGGCCCTGGGTTTGGTGAATCTCAAGCATGTGCTGGGATTGCCCCCTCTCACTCTACCAGGAGGGGAAAAAAATCAGCCTTGCTGATCATGGTGGCCAGTCCCCGATACCTGTAGGAAAATTCACCTTCTTTCTGTTTTGAGGCTGAGGAAGAGCTCACTGGGTGAGTCTGTATGTACATAGCGAGCACAGGACTTCCCTAACAGAGCCACCGTGTTTGGCTTGACTGAAGATGGAAAGGCCTTGGTCTTCCAGTGGCCCGATTCTCTGTTCTTCAGGTTGAGCACAGCATTGCAGTGGGTGGCTGAATAAGAAAAGAAGAAAAGCTATTTCTTTCTCTTTGTGCAAATAAACATTGCCTCAAATGTGCTAATCCATAGAACAACCACACCATTTGGAAAATCGAACACAAGGCAATTCTGCATTATTAAAAGTGGAGGAATTATTTGCAGCAAGAAAACATTGTGCAAGGTGTTTTAAAAAAGAAAGAGTTCTGTCCTACAAAACAATGCAGGAGAAAATGGCTTCACAGAGGACCCCCCTGGTGGGCTTCCCTGTCCTCGCAGGTCAGCAGCTCTTGCTAAGGGGCTCCTGCCTAGCAGAGGTGGCTGGCAGCTCACTGCAAGGCAAATGCAGCAGAGGTGGTGGCAGAACAGAAGACTTGGAGCTGCACTCCGCCATCAGTAGCAGTTAGGAAGGATGTAACTTACTGGGGCGAAGGAAAGCAAAAGGCGAGGCTCATTTTCCCTGTGAAATTAAAACCGAAGTTGAGTGAACAAGACAGATGCATTTAAACTTGGACTCTGCGACACTTCCTGACTCTCTCCAGCTTTTCTGCTTGTATCCTCCTTAGGTCTGCTCAAAATACAAACCCAGCTTGTCCTCGTCGCCCGAGAAGTAGACGTGGGCTGGCTGGCTGATTTTAGCTGCTATGGTTTTCCTGTAACCTTTACAACTGTTGTGATAAGTGAGATCCCTGTGAGGTATGATGTCTAGCTGCACCGTGTTTGTGAGCCATGCCCACCCGCTCCAAGCTTGCTGTTCCGTCAGTCCAGCTGACAATCTCATTACCTTCCTTTCTATATTAAAAAAAAAAAAAAAAGTCTGAATCATACTGAGAGTTTGGTATGTGCTCTGTGCTATACGAGAGAGAATTCTCTCCTGCATCTGATTAATATGTTCATGTGTGTGAATTGTTATACTTGAATTATCTGCACCAATTGTATTAAGGCATATATCTGACACCCAGGCTGTCTACAATGGCTTCAAAACATTTTATTTCTTTTAAATGGACTGAAATTTGCTTGGAATGTGCTACTAAGTGTTCCTGAATTTTCTACATGCTATTTTTACAGGTTCATTTGTTTATAATGTGACATGGTGATCATGTTGGTTTTCTGTTCTATTTTTCTTTGAAGAAAATGAATGTACATATTTCAAAGCAAATGAATAAATTATTGAGAAACTATAAGGATCATGCCCATTGTTGAAAGTGAATTTATTTTATTTGTTTAATAAAGTGTTCAAATAACAAGAATTTATATTGTCCTTATTCATATGGATGCCATGTATTTAAGTGTTGTTCGATATTGATATATGTTCTCTAATAAAGTATTTAAGCCTCTTTATTTTTTTCATGTTTATTTTTTAGTTGTAGTTGTCAATACCTTTATTTTATTTATTTATTGTTATGTGGTGCTGAGGATCGGACCCAGGGCCTCACACATGCTAGGCAAGCGCTCTACCATTGAGCCACAACCCCAGCCCCTAAAGCCTCTTTCTTTAGACACACAATGTCCACGTGCCTCAGTCATGATGTGCTGTCACTGTGTCTGCTGAGACCCAGCCTTTGAGACAAAGAGAGTTGCTGTCTTCGGCCAGTTAAATAGGGCAAATGGGACATAGGTTGGTTGCATTCAAGACACAGCCAAGAACCAGAACACAACTGGGTCATCAGGGGTAGTTGCTGGTAGCAGGAGAAGGTGGGAGGGAAGTCAGACACGTGAACCTGTTGACTATTTTCAGGGTGGGGTTGTATTAAACCATCTGCCAAGACAGCGGTGGGAGTTGTCAATCATCAGAGAAGCCATGGGCAACCCAGCCAAAGAGCACTCTCGGACAGCACTTCTTGACTGACTGTGGTCTCAGAACCCAGCCCCACTTCCTCAAGGAGACTCCTCGGCATTGAGGTATCTTGCTGGGGACGTGAATTCTGGAGTCAGATTGTCTGGAAGCCATTACAGGTGTCAGATTCCCTCAACCATTCACCACCTGCGTGATCTCAAATCAGTTCTTTAAGATGTCAAAATCTTCATTTCCCCGTCTCAAAGATGGGAACACCTACTGTACATCCCTCAGGGAATGGCTGGGACAATGAAATCAAACAATGCCTGTAAAAGGTTTAGGGAAATACCTGGCATCGACTTAGCGCTCAGCAATTGTAGGTTGTTCTTTTTCTTGTTGATTTTGTAGGTTTTGTTCTGGCTCAGTTCAGGTACCCAGGAAAACCAGCATCGATTCTTCCTGGTAAGGAGGATCATTACATCCTTAGCATCTGAGTCAAACGATAGCGCTTCCTCTCTTTTTTATTTAGTTTTTGCCAAATGGTGTCACATCCACATATGACCTGCTGACACAATGCAGGTCATATGGCCTGAGCCTGGCCTCACCTCTCAATGCTCCAGACAGGACGGGGAGTGGAGGGCAGATGCCAGCAGGAGGGTATCTGACAATACACAAACGTTTTCAGATTTTCAGGACTTGTTTTCAAGGAGCTTGGAATTGTCGTAACTGGTTTATAGACAAACATCGCTGCATTGTCCTAATGGCCCCCCTTTGGACCAGTCTGCTATCTTTTGCCCTGGGATATAGACTATGGAAGAGAGGGATGGCGTGGTTTTGCCACTCATTAGTTCTCACAAAGGTAGAGAAATAACTTGAAATAGATAGCTACAGTGACATTAGGGCCACATCACTGCTATTCCTTCTTTCCTGATGATGCCACCTTTAGTATGTAAACCCTGCACTGACCGTTCAGATACATTATCTCACTCAATTTTCCCAACAGTCCCTTAAGGAAATGCTAGAAATCATTAGGGTGCATTTGGCTGCAAGTAACCAGAATAGTTGAATAAAAGTGCCTCACACAAAAGAAAACAATCTAATACAACTACCAATACTTGGGTCTGAAAACACGCATCTTTGCCAAAATGCTTTTGAGTCAAAGTGTCTGGGTTTGAATTCTATTCGGTGATTAATAACTACCTGGTGCCACATCTGTCAGTCCCTGTGGTATATAAACCCTCCCACAATGGGCAGTTTTAAGCTGTCAACATGATTCACTCAATATGGTATTGGAAAGAGATGTGTACAGTTAGCCCCTGGGAGCCTCTGTGAGCCAAACCAGTGCACCATGGATCCTACCCACCCCGTGCGCCTCAGCAGCATGTGATCACCTGTGTTCATTTCCTCATATGTAAGATGGGATGATGGTAGTAGCTCCCCCATTAGGCCAATGCATGTGAAGAATTCCTGTTTGGTTCACAATAAGCATTGCATCAATGTTAGCTGTTGTTAATAGAATATTGACTTATGTGAGCAACAAAGCACAAACCCTCTAGAATAGCAAAGTTTTCACCCACGTTCATTCCCTGGGGAGCCACTTTTCTGAGATACATGAGGCAATATTACACTCCTGCTTGGGATTGTACCCAGCCCTGACTGTTTAGTCCACCTGCACTGAATTTGTTAGACTCTATTTGAGACTCAAAGGCTTCTGGGTGATCATTCTGCACCTTTACACTTCAATTTTAGCCAACGTGTTCAATGACTCTACAAACCAGTTTTCTCAAAGAGCCTCTTAATAACAAATGATTCTGTCAGATAATTATGATGATCACTCCCGTTTATAAGTACAAATATAAATTGCCTCCAACAGAATCTATGAAAACTCATCATTCTGTTGTGTAGGTGGAGGAAAAACCTACTCTCTCTTCTCCTCACTTGTTACCATGGACTAATCTATACACTAATTTCAAAAATAATATATGTACATGGTAAACTAAGTCAAAGCACTACTTTGGGGGTGTTCTCTGTTCCTCAACGCTACCGCACACCACCCTGCAGCTCCCTCATGTAAGAACTAGACACAAAAGGACAAGCACCAAATTGGAAACACAGTACGATTTTTATTAATCCCCAGGAGAGCTGTGTGCCCAAGTCCCTGGCTTCTCTGCTCAGCGGTTCTAGCCCACCCGGGATTTCTCTACCTGATTTACTTGAATTGAAAGTGTCAAGGTTTGAGGAATGCATTAGACCCCCCCCACCTTGTGTCCCTCCAGAATTCGTAAACCAAACCTAAGGAACCACGTGCTTAGTTGGTTCCTTCATTCTGTGCATACCTATCAGATACCTGCTCCACAACAGGCATCATCTCGAGACACGTCAACAAACAAAGTTGGGGGAGACAGATGGCCATGGAGTCTGCATTCTAGACTTTTTCTAGAAATACTCTATGCAAGTGCAAATATGGGATTCTTTTAAATATGTTTTTGAAAACAAAATGAGCCAGATATTCTGAAGGGTCAGGCCAGGTGACTTTTTGTAGGTCAGCGATTAAGCAATTTGGTCAGTCTCTCATTATCCTGAATCCCAGAGGTTTTGCCTTGACAAACACACCAAAGTCAAAGCCCAGTCCAGTCTCTGCCCTTTGAAACGCTATAGTTTGATATTATAAGTCCTATGAAATAACTTTGAGGGCTTATTTTAGAGTTTCTAGCATTTTTAAGGGTTATAAACTTATTTCAACAGTGTTGTCACTGCCTAAAAATTTTGGAACTCTTTTGAGATTGCCTCTTGAGTCAATTTGTGTATGGTACTTTCCACCAAAAGTCCCTTATTTACTGATTACTGCAAACAGTGCTAACCTTGACCACAAAAAGCCTTTCTCAAACACAGACGGTGAGCCTCATTGGCTGAGGGGCAACTTCAGAGGTCCCTGCTGATGGACTCCATGGTGACCATTGCCAATGCATTGGCCAGCTAGCTCTGTCATCCTGTTGGCCCAGTGCAAGTCAGGAAGGTCAAACCACTATAAAAAGTCATTCTCAATAAATTCACTGGAAAAAAAAATTAGGTCAATGATTTTTCAAACTGTTTTAAGCAGTGCAAATTCTTTCAGTAGATGAAATCTTACTCAAAAGCCCAACACACAAAACAGAAAAATAGAGCATTTTTTGAATGAGGTAGAGACCTGCGTGAAACCCCAACTGCTCAGACACCCACACACACATACCCTCTCCTGGTGACCCCACAGGACCTGATGGAGCAGGGATTAAGCACCACCAGACCACACACGCTGGGGCACTGGCTATCTGAACCTACCCAAGGGCTCCTAGCCCATGGCGACCAGTCAACAAGGCTTTCCTCAGTGAGGAAGTGAGGCAGAAAGTGCGTGCCCCTTGGGGTTTGAGGGTGGCCCCTCCAGCAAAGAGCTCAGCTTACTAAGGGTAAAAGGAGGGCCCAGGACCAAAGATAATTAGCACCTGGAATAATTCCCCCCCCCAAGAACGATTTCCTGAAGGTCAAAATCCAAAATCCAGAGCCACCTGATGTTCATGAAGACCACTGAAAGAAACAGCTGCCCACGGCCTGGGGGATGGGGACATCATGACAATAGAGGAGGTGACAGATACTCAATTCCCATTTCCCTCCCTTCTTCTCCAGCAGAGAGTGATCTACTTTAAAACTAGGAAAAGAACACACGTGAATTAAGCAAGTATTCATGAGAAGTAAGGCCAGGCAGGTGGGGTGTCAAGAGAGGGCCATGGAGGAACAGAAGGGAAGCAGAACCGGAAATGGGTCTCCGAGGGGCCCAGGATGCACCATCCACCTTCCCTCGGAGAATTCTGAAGAAATTGGTAAATACAGTTATGTCAGCTTAGCTGGCCAGGGACAGGCGTTGTTCTAAATGGTTTAGTTTTGCTGACTTATCTAGTGCTCCAATCGAACTCTGAAGAGGTTCTATTAAGTCCCCCCTTTTAGAGAAAAGAAACTGAGGCTCAGCCAGCTTAGCAGCTTTCAGACTTTACACACCAGCAAGTGGCAGAGCTGGGACGTGAACCCAGACATTTCAGTTCAAAGGACCGATTTCTTAACCACGAAGCTTCTGGAAATTAGACCCTCAGCTTTACGCCTTCCTAATCAAGGCTCAGTGTGAAGAACATGGCTCATGTCTGTGGGCAAATGGGCTTTGTGAGGAGCTGCCCTATACACAGTGCAGTACCAGGGCACTAGGGGAAGGAGAAGGAGAAGGGGGGGGCCCTCAAGAATGACACAGCCTGGGAGCAGCTCACTCTCCAAGGATGAAAGGAGTCCGTGGGCTCAGCCTGCCTGTTTATTTTGCTCCAAATTCATCAATTAGATTAAACTATTTCTTCATGGGATGGATGGAAGGTAAGATGAGGAGTGAGGAGGACCCACTCTCTAACACAGGACACAGCGCAGGGTAGCAGTGGTATCCAAAGTCAGGCAAGATGTGGAATTCAGGACAGTTCAAAGAGCTAGTGATAAAACAAAGTAGAGTAGATTTACCCTCCAATGGACTAAGACAGGAGGTATCTTAAG